CTCCAAATAAAAGTACGTATTTATTTGGCAAAAAAAAAAAAAAGTATTTAGAACCAAAAATTTAGAAAATGATTGAATCAATGCACAAGCATAATTTCCTCCTCTCACCCAAATTTTTTTTATTTCACATAACTTTAATTCTTCAAAAATTGTCACAAATTTAGAGGTTGTCTATAGATCAAAAAATTCAATAAAACAATCTACATTTAAAAAAAATATAATTAAATATCCTTTCATTACAATTCATAAAGTTAAAGAGAAAAATATTACACCACTCCGTCTATGAGGGAGGATGAAGTGCAATTGGATTCTTGCAAGTTTGTCGATAACGACCATTTAAACCACATCTTGAACACTTACAAGTTGATGGTTCTTCTCCTCATGATGGGATTCTGTTTTCCTTACGTCTATCGTGCCTTCTTCATGTAATTGGTGGTAGCACAATTATATATTGTACATCATCAGACACCACCCAATCTGTTTGATCCCCAACTGGCCATATAGGTTCTGCATACGCAATTACCAATGAGTTTGTAGTATAATATTTTGAACACATTGGGTAACATGAAATTTGTCGATGCCTACATGCAGCACAAGCATGTGCACATAGTAGTTGGTCAAGATCAAATTCTCGGCATGTGCAACACTTCCCCTATAAATTTGCAACTTCAACACAACTTTCATCGTATACATGAAATGAGTATGCCTCAATAGGAGAAACATATATATTCAAGAAACCAGTATGTTTTATTTCTTTAAAATTAAATACTTGCAACAACGAAAAAAAAGGTAATGAATTCAAAATAGCTGCAATGATAATCCTTTTTGGTTATTTTCTTGCACCAACTTGTCAACCCATTCCGTCAAATGTGAATCCATTTTGGCTGCCTCAGTTCGACGCTTATGAATCAATTTTGAAGTATATTCATTTTTAAATACTCCATAAAATTGGTGATAGGCAACTTACGGGCATCTCTGGTGATTGAATTGAGACATTTAGCAATATTTGTTGTCATTAAGTTGTACCGCTTCCCATTAAAGTACGCACGAGCCCACTTTTCATATCCAGCTGTATGAAGATAATTACCCACATGAGGGTCAACATTAAATATTTGCACCATATGACAATCAAGACAATTTTAAAACCTGTTTTGGATTGTTGTATGATTTGGGGGCCGAGTGCTTAAAGTACTTGTGATTGTGTTGGGTTGTTAAACATCATACGATGGAAATTAAGAAGTTATTTTATGTTAATTATGGTGGGCATGCATAATTGAATTCGAGTTCATTATTTGCTTCCTTAAATCTCATTTGACTTAAGAGCCGCTGGTGGTTCTGTTTTGAATTGTTGAAGGCCAGAGGCCTAGTTTGTAAACTACTTGAGGGTTAACTTGTGCATGCTGAGTGATTGTGGATATTTAAATTGCTTGTTGTACAGGTGAAAAATTTGGGAAACGAGCAATTTACAAGGGAGACTCTGCCGAATTTTCTGCAGAAGTCAAACTCTAAAGAAACTTTGGGTTTCATTAGAAGGGGCAATTTGGTCAGGTGTGCTCGGCACCTGCAAGGTGTTAACACGCACAGGGTTCGGCGCAAATTCCAAAGTGGAATTTGGGTCGGGTCTTGTAAAAGGTCAAAATAGCTTGCATTAAATTTGTGGTCGACAATAAGTTATTGAAAAAATAAATATATTTTGGTTTGTTGCCACTGAATTGTATGTAAAAATTCGGTAATACATCACTGAACACCGTTTCATGTTACGGTGGATCTCCACTGCATCTTAAGGCCCAGTTTGGGATTGCTGTCACTTTTAAAAAAAGTTGCTTCTGCTGTGCTTTAAAAATAATTGGCTGTAGAGTAAAGTAGCTCCATGTTTGGTAAATAATATTTTTAAAGTGCTGTTAGTACAAAAAACAGTGTCAAAACCGTTTGGTAAATTTTAATATAAAACGGTTGTAACTGTGAATAATGACTAAAATATACATGATGTTGAAAGTGTTATGTGCTAATCATGTGGTGGTAGTGGTGGTGGTGGTGGTGGTGGGGATGGTGGTTGTGGAGGTGGAGTTGGTGGTGGTGATGTCAGCGTGGTGGAGGTGGTGGTGTGAGAGGATGAGGAGGAGGAGGAGAAGGATGTGGTGGTGGTGGTGGCAGTGGCGGTGGCGGTGGTTGTAGAGGTGGTGAATGTGGTGGTGGAGGGGGTGGAGTTGGATGTGGAAGGGGAGGGGGGGTCATTTTTTAAAATGAATGATGGTATTTTAGGAAGTAAAAAAATTCAGTAAAGGTTCATCTCTGCTTCTTTTGAAAGCAGTTTGAAAAGCAACCCAAAGCCTACTTTTAAAAGCTGCTATTAAAAGGCCACTGCTTTTAAAATAATCGGGATATTTTATTTTTACCAAACACCTTAAATTGCCTAACTTTAAAGTGAAGCAGGTTTTTGGAGGAAAAAAGCAATCCCAAACAGGGCCTAAGTTAACTGCTAGTCAAACACAACTAAAATAGGTGCAATGTTTCGGTGGCATCCCACCGAATGTACCTATCACGTTCGGTACTTGTGTGCTGAACTCAACCAGCGATCATCAAACTTGAAAAACGCCAAAAAATAAACTCATACCTCATTCGAAGCCTCTCTAACTTCAATCTCACCCATCATGAATAAATATAAGATATTTTTTCATCAATATAAGCATATAAACCTCGTTAGGGTTATAAGAACATGATGGTTTGAGAAAAAAGTCTAACTAGGGTTGCAGGAACATATGTGGGGTGTAATGAGCAAAATTAATTTTTATTAAATTTTTTTTTTGGTTCTTAATGGTAATTATGTAGAAGGATAAAATAAGTTATTCATATTTAAAATTAGTATGGGGTGTAAAGAGCAAATAATGGGATTCCAATAAAATCTCCCTTGACTTTATCTTGGATTATTATTGAGATTTTCTATTTAAACCCCACACTTCTCTTTGTTCACCCCATGTTCTAAGTTCACCCCAACTTTTAATTTAAATTTTCACAATTTCTAAGAAAATCCCACTATCTTCCCAAACCACCCTTAAATACACCCTAAGCTGAAAAAAAAAAGAAATAAAAGAGATTTTCTATTCAAACCCCCCAAAACATCATGTATAAATTTTAAATCAAAAATCAAAACAACGAAGCAATCAACAACCAAGAGTGCCGAAAAAAAAAAAGCAATCAACAACCAAGCAATCAACAAAGGGAAGAGAATAAGATCATTACAGCCAAACAATCAACAAGCCTTTCCATCAGCTCCCACGCAGATTTTAAAGAGGTAGGCTTATCAGTGTTCTACATCTTTAAAAGATGAGTAATCTGGCAATAGGATGTAGAAGAGTTTGTATTTTTCTAAAACTTAATATGAAGAGTTGTGGGCTGTGTGAGGTGTGTGTATAGATGTACTAGGGTTAAGTATTAAGTTGAATGACCATTTTTGTCTTTTTACACAATAATAAAACTTACAGCTTAATGATTTAAGTATTTGGGTGAACAAAGAGAAGTGTGGGGTTTAAATAGAAAATCTCTTATCATTTACCACAATAATAAATTTCCTATTGATTTTAAATCAAAGATCCCTAAAAAACTAATAATTAATAGTAACTAGCCCCTTGCCACACGCTCACGCGTGTGCCAATTTGATTTTTTTGTTTTTGTTTTTGTTTTTAGAATTAAGAAAAGAAAAAATGGGTAGTTATTTTCCATAAAAGTAGGATCCATTATCCGATTTTGTTTTTATTTTTAATTTTGTAATTGTGAATTTACCATATTATCCTCATTTAATTAATAATTTCAATTCTTAATGTTTGAATTAATAAAGGGCATTTTCTGGTATTTTGAATGTTTCACTATTCTCTGCCTTTTGCTTTATATATATAGATATTGATGAATAATAATAATAAAATAGAAAAAACAGAAACATAGAGTTAAGAAATGAACATCAGCCCCCCCAAAAAAAAAGGTTAAGAAAAGAACAACTCTTCCCTTACCCAACGCAACGCCAAACACCCATCCTCTCTCTCTCTCTGTACCCGTCTCCCCTATCACTCAGCATTTCCAGCAGTCAAACCCTTGCCATGGCAAGGGGGGGACTAGGGCTGACACTATTCACATGAATAGTGGCTGCCCTTACCTTTTTTAGCTATGTGTGTTTCCAGCAGTCAAACCCTTGTCATGGCAACTACTATTCATTTTTTTGTTTTTTTCACAACTTTTTTTACTTAAATAATTATTTTAGATAATATTTTCGGGTAAGATTTTTGGGTTCCTACGTGTCAATACTATTCATATCAGATAAGATTTTCGGTTTCACATTTCAAATAAATTTCGAATTTCAAATTTCAGATACATTTCAAAATTCAAATTTCAGATAAATGTCAAATTTCAAATTTCAGATAAGATTTTCACCCTCTAAAATTGCGCCACGTGCCATCTCTATCTGCCTAAATTATTCTATAAAACCAAAGGCTCACCTCATACCTCCCACACCATATCTTCTCTACATTTCCATTTCTCAGATTTCCATATCTTCTCTACATTTCCATTTCTCATATTTTAGATTTCAATCTCCATTCTCAATGGCAAACATGGAAGAGGTTTTGGAGAGACAAGAGCGAGAAACTAGAGAAAGAATGCGTAGAAGAGCTGCAAGCAAGAGGGTGCAGAGAGAACTAGATGAGCAACTTGGCATAGCAGTGGCTTTGCTTGAGGAAGAAAACTAGAGCCGCCGTGGCTCACGTGAAGGCCGTCGCCCGAATGTGGATAGACATAGACATTCTCGGGGTAAGAATCTTCTAGAAGATTATTTTATCCCACAATCTCTGTACTCTGATGTTCATTTTCGAGCAAGATATAGAATGCAACCCCATTTGTTCAATAAAATCATGCATGATATTTGCAATTATGATGAATACTTTGTTCAAAAGAAAAATGCTGCTGGAAATTTGGGACTTCTTCCCGAGCAAAAGTTCACAGCAGTGATACGAATGTTAGCGTATGGGTCATCTGCTGATCAGGTCGATGAGGTTGTCCATATGGAGAAGTCCACTATTTTGGAGGCCTTGGTGCGATTCTGTGATGCAGTGGAAACTCTGTACACCAGGGACTACCTGCGCAGACCTACGCCCAGGGACCTACAACGGCTTCTACAAAAAGCTGAGATTCGAGGATTTCCTGGAATGATTGGCAACATTGACTGCATGCACTGGCAATGGAAAAATTGTCCAATTGCTTGGCAAGGGGATTACGGAAACAGGAAAGGGCAGAAATCAATCATCCTTGAAGCAGTTGATGGATTCGATACATGGGTTTGGCATGCCTTCTTCGGAGTTGTCGGATCTCAAAACGATTTGAACGTCCTTGGTCAATCCCCGGTGTTTAATGATGTATTGAGTGGTGAAGCCCCAAATGTCACCTATGAAATCAATCATACCGTCTACCAAAATGGGTATTATCTAGCTGACGGCATCTACCCAAGGTGGACCACATTTGTCAAATCAATTCCACATCCCCGATCCCATAAGCAAAAATTATTTGCTACTTATCAAGAGGGTTACAGAAAAGATGTGGAGAGGTGCTTTGGTATCCTCCAAGCGCGATGGGCTATTATTAGGGGTGCGGCGCGTCTATTTGATGAAGAGGTGCTTAGGAGCATAATGATGACTTGTATCATCCTCCACAATATGATTGTGGAGGATGAGTATGATTATCTAGCTGATGAAGTGTATGAGGCAGATCCCATGAACACGCCCTTGACACGAATTTATGAAAAACCCATGGGGCCAAATGGAGAACCAGTGCAACATGAACCGTTGGTTTGAGATGGTAGTTTCATGCCCCGTATGATTGATCGCTACAAGGAGATGCAATCGTCGTATATTCATGAACAACGTCAAGTTGACTTGATTGAGCACTTATGGGCGGTGAAAGGCAATGAAGGTGAATGAAGTGAAGTGAAGACATTTTTTTAATTTATTATGTTGATATTGTATTTTTAGTTATGCTTTGTTTTTTTAATGGTTTGGTTGTGGTTTTTTTATTTTGTATGCTTTGGTTGTGGTTTGTTTTTTATGTATGGAATGTTTTGAATAAAAAAAGGAATTTTGTTGAATATTTTCTTTATTCACTAAAAGAAAATCAATACAACTAAGAAAACAAAATACATGAATTACCACTAATTTATTAAACAAACAAAAAAT